TGCACACATCTACTCTAACTATTTGTGATAAAAATAACGCTAAATTGACCTAATCTTCAAATATAAAACCCAGCTTACAAACTTTAATCATCACTCATACATGATTTTAAGTTAAGTCGTTTTTAAAGCACGCCTACATATGTAGTACATAATTTTATGTGTAGATGCGTTTTATTTACAGAATCTGTTTGAACTCCTATAGGCCTAACTTATAATTCATAAGGTATTTAAAAACACAATTTACGATAACACACACATATGTTTTTTTTTATTTGTTGTTAAGTACAAAGCTATACAATTGGCTATCTATACTCTGTCCACCACGTGTATCGAAACTCCATGTTTATCGTTATAGACGCACTGACTTACCGCTGAGCCACCTTGTGGCAAAGAAAGAGACAAACATTTTGAAAATAAAGTGATACAAAAAAAAACAACAAAAACTTAATCAATAACAATGGTACTATTTTATTTGATCAAAGAACCAAAAATTAAAGAAAAATATTTGAAAATTCCCCGATCCTTTTTTGTGTGCAAGTCACTTTTAGAAGCAGTCGGAATAGAAAGTAACAATAAATACCTGAATATTTTAATATTTTTTTGGAATAAGAGATTTTTTAATAAAATCAAATAGGGTCAAAATATTATTCTCAACACTCCAAGAAATTAAAATATGAATATTGATAATATCTTAATATATTCGAATTTGTCAATTATTTAAAGCAACATAAGACCCCAACAGATGGCACTCGGTTCCAGTTTTGTTTGTTTTTTTATATAAAAGAAAAATGAGTATGTTTGTTTTTTATTGAATAGCTCAGGTGTAAATACCTTAAATTTCATTTTAGTAAATATAATTGTCATGTGTAAGATTAGTTTTAAAATAGATAAAATGAACAGCGTTGAAAATGAAAAGTAATTTTTTCTTGATTTTTGTTTATTGCGAGATGTTTAGACCGAGAAATCAGAGAATGAGGTTTGAGAGGTTTTATTGCAGTATTATTACTGCCACTGTTCAGTTTATTAGAATTATTCTCAACTGAGCCTTCAAGCAAACGATTTTGTTTGATTATAAAGAGCCAGTCATGAATTTTAAAACAGTGTGTGATCACGTATATTTTTGTCTCTCCCTTACAAAATCCAAGCAGCAGTATAACTTAATTAAAAATAAAAGCATTCCACCAGATTATTTTTCTAAGTTCTATTCGAAACTAGTTTGAAGAATGAATTTTCGTGCATCATTCGTGAGTGATGAATTTCGAATGCATGATTTTCCATGTAGAACTGTGAAACAAAATATCGTACAATAATCAAAGAGTGTAAGTAGGTTTTGTAAAATTTTAGTAACGCACTAATGCCATGATATATAAATACTTTAGTATGTGAACTTCTATGAGTTGTCACCAACTTGACAGGGTATTGTTTTTTGGTATGAGAAGTAACTTAGACTTTGGAACTATGATTGTCAGTACTTTCATAAAACTTTCTTATTCAGTTACTGCCTTACAATCTTGATGTTGATGTAAGTGGAGTAAAAGAAAAGCCTTCATTTGGTTAAATGACTTTGCTAACAATGAATGTAAATATAGATTGCTAGAATGTTAAGTTACAGTAGTAACTGGTATATAATCATTGTTACTTTAGCTTGAGGTTTTTAAGGGTTAATTTTTGAGATGTCACATTCTGATAAGTCATTTTAAAAACTATGTGAAATGTAACTTGTAGGTTAAGATTGTAACATTAGACTTTTAATAAAATAGGCTATTTGAGATTTGTAACTTTGCAAATGTGAACTGTATGTTGCATACTTCTCAAATAGTAGTGACATAATTTCTAATTTTTAAATATAATTACATGTTTCAAGTTATTTAAAGCAAGAATCAGTCTAGTACCTTTTGTTTTTCTGTGTTTACCCAAACTTATTGCATCTTTTCTGTGATGAACCCATTCAGACAGAACTGGTTGTTCATTTACTAAACAGTTATAGTATTTGATGTCTAAAAAATCCTGCAATAGTAATTTAATCTTTTTTTTATGAGAAAATTAAATCAGATATGTTAGTTTTGTATTTTATGTTTTTGCATAGTATTGTATTACTACAAAGTTCCTGGTTTTATAAAGGTAGATTGTATCAGTATCCTGTTTTTCCTTTTCCCTATTTTTATATTCTCAGCAAAAGGCCTAAAAAATTTAAAATTCTTGTGTATAATAGTTCCAGATTTTCTTTTTTTTAATTCACTTATATATAACTATTTTCTATAAAAACTGCAAAAAATATTACTTTATTTATTTATTTTAGAAAAGTTAAGTTTAATCCAGAAGCCTGCCATGTAGCTTTTGTAATTATTCTTGTGTTAGAGAACTAACATCACTCAAACATTTATTAAAGATATTTAAAAGATGCAGCAGAAGAAAGGTAAAAATCCACTTATTAAAAATTATCAGTTATTTGTGGGGGGTGGGATGGAAGAGGCAAACATTTATTAGAGCCAAAGCAGAATAGCCACTTAAAATACAAACTAAAAAGTTGCATTTTTGGCCGAGAAACGTTATGTAATAAATTTAAAAAATGAAATTATACAAATATTTTTAGAAAGTTTTGTCTCTTGAAACTTAACCATTCAGACTCAAGTTTCAGTACATTTTATGAAAAAAAACAAACAAACAAAGAGAGTACTATTAATTGTTCACTTCACTACCAAACAAAAAATATTTTATCAAATGCCTTAAGAGAAAACAAATAAGTTGAAAGTATGTAGTAGTATGGGAGTTTAAAACCTGAAGTAGCTTTATTAATAAATCAAAATATATATAACTAAGCACACATGAACAAATCCAAAATGTACATAAAATAAATGTGATAGTGAACATAAAGAAAAAAAATGATGAATGAAAAGTGAGCATTAAGCTACAGGTATTCTCTTGATGGTTACTTATCTTAGTAATAAAACTAAACACGTAGATGCATATATTCCCTTGATGGTCACATGTTTTAGTAATGTGTGTCTGTGCTGGATAACAGTGCATTATTACCATTAGTTCATATTTCTATGAGGAAGGCTGAAACCTCAGTATTTTTTGTATTTTTTCATGCTTTTGTGCTCATTGTTATATATATATATGACATGTATATTTTGAATTATTATCATGTCTAATTTAATTTTTTTCTATGGACAAAGTCTCTTCAGGTTTTTAAACCTCACACATACCACATTATATACTGTAAATATGTCTTTTGTCACTTTTATGAATAGAAATAAAGACTTACTATGCTTATATGGTACCTCTCAGATAACCAGCAGAACAGAGAAGTTAGGCCCACTAACAACAGGAGGTTCTCATATCTTGAGCTTGGGTGCATACTTCCCACCAAGTTGTAACAGATAGGATGCAGAGAAAGAGACAAGACACCTGTTTACACAAACAACAGATATTTATTAATATTCATAGTTACAATATATGTAAACAATACGCTACTGTACAATACACTAAACAGTAAATTATTGGGCAAATTATTGTGTGTGATTGAAAAGAGCTGAAGAAGACTTTAATAGAAAATATGAAGTTGTCATGCATGTAGCTCCCCCTTGTGAGTTAAACTAAGTAAGATGAAGGAAAATACTAATTGAAAACATGCACCAAATTAAGTTATATACCACATTTTGTTTAACTGTGTAAACAATCTCTGTGAAATCCAAGATCTTATTTGTACTTCATCAGTGAAGCTTCAAAAACACTTTTAACTTTAAATGGTAGAGCCAATGCTATGCTCTAAATCCATTCACACTTAATGTGAACATATGGCAAAACAACACTTTAAACTTTGCTCACTTAATTCATGCATAAGAACAATAACACGAGTAAGTTTGTGAGTTGCTTGTACTGTTAATATGAAAGTTCAAATGCTACGAAACTACTACAGAAACTGGAGATTTCTGCTGAATATTTATGGACTCATGACTGCAAAAACAACAGAAAAAGTAAGGGGAAGTGAAAACTATTTTAAAATTTGTATCAGGTCCTATAGAGTTTGTAAAAATTCTGAACTTCCAAGTCCAGACGCTGCCTTAAATATGTCAATAAACTCTCAAGTTCCTGATAGAAGAAAGCAGTGATTGGTTCTTGCTAGATAAATTGGCCAATGGGCAGCAGAGATCAGTGGCAATTCCTTTTGAAACTACTACCTGATTTACCAACTTGAACAACTCAAGCTCATTAATTTAAAACAACATTGTTATTGTTGTAAGACAAACAGATGAGCAGCTTTGGCTTCCACTTGAAGAAAGTTAAAGTTAGTAACTCACTTGACTTCCTTTCTGCATCTAACCAGGAAACTATGAAAAACAAAATAATTTTACTTTCTAAATAAAGAGGTGGAAAACATATAGTACAACCCGGTACTACAGTTACAGTACAAATTTTATTGTGGTTACAATAATCAACCAAATTTCATGTTCTTGTTTTTCAGATAGTTGGATTGAGTAAATAAGATTTTTCCTACTTCAAAACTAGTTAGGTTTTTCTGTAAATATGTATAGTTGGATTGAGTAAACAAGATTTTTCCTAATTCAAAACTAGTTAGGTTTTTCTGTAAATATGTATAGTTGGATTGAGTAAATAAGATTTTTTCTACTTCAAAACTAGTTAGGTTTTTCTGTAAATATGTATAGTTGGATTGAGTAAACAAGATTTTTCCTACTTCAAAACTAGTTAGGTTTTTCTGTAAATATGTATAGTTGGATTGAGTAAATAAGATTTTTTCTACTTCAAACTAGTTAGGTTTTTCTGTAAATATGTATGTGTTTCGTAATGTTTATCATTACTTTTCCCATATTTTTAAGGTTTTCGAGGATGGAGGATATTCATATATGTGGGGCTTGTAAAACCCATTTTGGAAACATAGAAAAGTTTTTATTGCACAAACAATGTCAATGTCCATCACAAAAGAAATTGCTTCAAATACCGAGTATGGGTTTAACTTCACCTCTTCATTCATTTAGTGATAAAGATTATGAAGTTAACAGCTTCCTCGAACCTGATCTTGCAAGTTCTGTTGTACACGAACAGGTGGTACTTAATTGTCCGAACAATCATAAAAGTGCTGTAAATGGAAGTGTTTTAAGTGAAAGAAAATCCCTTAGGTATGTGCAGATAAAAGAATTATACTTTTTTTTATGGTGTCTTGTTCTTTTCCTAAGATTAAATACTAATTTACCTAACTATAGCATAAAAGAAATATTTTTAAAAGGTGAATATGTACTATATGAGTGTGCAAGCATCTCGGATGTTTCATGTTTCTATAATCTTAAGGAATTGAGTATTTCAACAAATTTTCTACATTTATTTTTACTCATGTTCTGTAATTGATTACATTTGATAAGAAAATGCCCCAGTATTTGGACATCTTCAACTAAATTTCATTGCCTTGGTATAAACTGGTCAATTTTGTATAATGTAGTGTTTTATTGCATATATGTTACTTGTATATGTATGCATATATGTGCGGAAAAAAATAAAGATATGAGATTTAGTCATATAATTTATTAAAGTTTAATACAGTCAAAATAAATTAGTGACAAAAGTCTTGCCTTACAAATAAAAGTAAGGGTAAACATAGTTTAATCTCAGTAAATTCTTTTCAGAATATTAACAAAAAAAAAAAGGTTCGTTCACCGATGTGCATAAAATAATCTGCTCATAAAAAAAACTTGTCTCAAGAAAAAAAGTATTAATTTTGACTATTCAAGTGGTAATCACATTAACACTGGTTATTAGGAAAAGTTTTGTTCAGTTTAAAATTTTGTATTATTCATTTGAGCAGTGGTCAAACTACAGTATTTAATTTTATTTTCAAAGTGTATGTAACACCACTCTCCAGGAACACACAGTTGTTGTCCAGCCTCCTTGTATAACCTCAGTTGTGGGATCTTCAGCTAATGGGATAGTGCACCCTCACAAATCAGCTGTAAAAGTGCACTCTGCATTACGAGGTAAGCTTTTGTTTCTTACTTGGAATGAAGGAACAGCCTGAATAAGTGAAAGAATACAACACAATGAGTGGCATCTCTTAGATTTCCAAATAAAAAATAAAGCTTCTTATGATAATTTTAAATTGAACCTACAGAAGGACCGACAACTGAGTTCTATAACACCTACATTACCTGATAACAAAGCCTAAGTTTGGCAAATGGAATAATTTCCTCTAAAAATCAAGTATCTGTTTTCTCTTCCAGTTTACTTAATGATTTATGTATGACCGTTAATCACCCAGTAAAATATAATTCTTTTCTGGATTTTATTGCTGCCATAACCTGTAATGAACTAGGTGAAAAGTGATTCTTGAGAAGTAAGCTAAGCTGGTGCATGCGTTATCATCTAAACTATTGTATAGTTTTATAAAATAGAGATCAGGTTCCACTGGTATGCTTTGTAAAATACCTCTATTAATTTAGTAAAATAACTTGAAGGAATTATCTACTTTCCTATACAGCAGCATTAATAGTTATTTGCTTGATAAACAAATGAATGGGTCTATTGAGTAAATAACTCGACACATTATTTCTGGATAAATTCAGAATTAAATGTTTAAAAATCTTGATCTTACAAGAACTCCTTACTGCTTGATAATGATACTGAATTAATCTGAGGAGACAGTGTAGTATTTTTCTATATTTTCACTTTGTAGTATTCATAATTAAAGCATTAAATTTTATACACAAGTTCTTTGCATATTAATAACTCATCAAATTATTAATTTTACTAATTGAATGGAGTACAAGGGTAAAATATGAATTTCTTTGCTCGTTAGAAAGTACTGGACATATAGAGATAGCTATTTATGAAGACTGGGAACATTTCTAAAGTAGACATTGTGCTTTCAGCTTGACAAGTTGCATACCTTACACACCAGTAGTATAGTAGTTATTTAAAATGGCATTATGAGTTTAATTACAATCTGTAGAATCTTTGTAATTTTTTTTAAAATGAATTTTATGTGCATTAACAAAAGGTTCAAAGATTACAACTTTTAAAAAGAATCCTTGATAGAAGTTTAGTTAAATTAAAATGTGAGATTTTTCTTCTCATATTCTGTAGGGGGGAGGATCTTATGCAGCTTCCAAGGAGGCTAATTTTCAAATGTTTTTAGTAGTGTAGAGGTAAAAATGGACCTGTCAGGACTTAGTAGTTAGGGTTTCATTCTGTGAATCTGAGGGTCCATGGTTAGTGTTCCATTGCTACAAAAATGCATTCTGCACTTTGGGGCCAAAGGTGCACTACAGATGTTGATTATATTAAAACAATTTTGGGCCTCACCACATTATTAGAGTCCATATCACAGAGTTTGGCCATGCTCTATCTGACAACTGGATATTTTGATAATAGTCCTGCAGAGTAGTTTCCATTTGATAATGATACATCAGAAGACTGTTATTTCCAAATAACATTCTCTCTTCCCTACTGGCTTTCCATAATCCATCTAATGTGTGAGACAGATAGTTTCCCAGGACCCATTTCAATGGTCTAATCACATGCAATTCCATAGGTGACTTGACCAGTATATTTTCTTATACGGAACACCATGAATACTCATTTTATTCTCCATCTGTTTGGTATGTGATGGTTGAAAGGATATGATGTTGGACAGCTTGCGTACATGTGATTTTGTCAGTTTTCCAGGTAGAGATCCATTTTGATTATGTTGCCTGGGCTTTTGCTACTGATCTTTATGTTTGATGATTCTCACCCGTTACAAGAAACAGCACATTGTTTAACATGACCTATTGTGGGTCTCTTTCTGGATGGTCATGGGACTCAAGTCATATTCCTTTGTTTCCAATTCCATTAGGTACTATGTATATCCCCATCTTGGTAATTCTAAATCCCCAATCTAAACATACTGTTACGTCTCTGGTCGTTTGTTAATTTCCCGTAAAAATTCCTTCCGAAAAACTTCAGCGATACAAGTCCTTTCTTAAGTAAAACTAGTTTATTCTTTCTCAATACAACTTTGCAATACACTTAATTTTCACAGTCACTTTAAACACACGCTATAATTCACAATGATTCTCGCACTTACTTACGGTCACTACCGCGCTTGACTCAGTTGTCCGTCTTTATCTCTGCCTGTCTGCAATTCAATTCCGATTCATTGTCTGGTGCTCTTATATACAAGAATAGAGGGCGCCTAGCAAATACTGGATTATTTGTGATGTTCCCCGATCTTTCCAGAACTCATTAAGTGTTACCAGCATCACGTGACTTCCGCTGTCATAACAATATTTTTATGATCTGAGTGTATGAATATTTTGCATTGGAAAGGACTGTTAAATATCATTCCCAAAAGCAAACAGTTTTCATTGGCATCACACTGTGCTCACAATTCCAAGTAGTGTCAAAATTTGGTTCTGATACAAATCATTCCTCTGAGATTTTGCACAATTTGATATTCTTATTCAAAATTGTTTGGGGGGGGGGGGACCCAATGAAATCCCATTACTCAGTTAGTGTAGGTCTAAGAGTTGGCAGTGGTTGGTGTTGATTACGTGCCTTCCCTCTAGTGTGACAACTCTAAATTAGGAACAGGTAGCTTTGTAAGAATTTCCAAAATACACAAAAAACATATAGACAAAACATTGAAATGAAATACCTAAATGGAAAGTATTAAAATTTCCTAAATATTACTTGAGTAAGCTATGTTTAAAAACATATATTTACACATTTATTTTTTCTTGTTACTTTGTAGGAAAAGCACACCAGGTAAAGAAATACAAGTGCACATTCAGGAATTGTATATTTACCTCAGCCTATCCAAAAGACTTCCAGCGACACCAGAGAACCCACTCAGGTGAAAAACCTTTCACTTGTGAAGAATGTGGGAAAAGTTTCAGTCGGTCAGATAAGGTGAAGGCTCACCAGAAAACTCATACTGAAGAAAGACCTTTCAAATGCACTGAATGTAAGTGTTTGTTGATTAATAAACAAAAATCTGGTTTTTCATCTATATATACAAAAAAATCAAACTGAAGTGTAATTGTTTCTAACCTTTCGATATTTATTGATTTTATCTATAAACTATATATATATATATATATATATATATA